TATTAGGCGCCCGTCAAGGTAACTCTTTTAAATCTAGCTAGCACCTGAACTGGGTACCCAAGTAAAGATATTGCGTGGTAGTGCCAGACCAGGCACTACGAGAGATAATCCTTGTTGAGAGAATGCGTTTAGCGCCAGAAGTGATTATATTTTATTAACTTTTGTATGCTTGGGCTTGTCCAGATTCTATTGGATGAGAACATTGTTAAGAAAATCTGTTAAGCGCCGGAATGGATTATCTGTAGAAGGGATTTCCATGCCAGAACCTCTTTTGGCACTGTGGGGAAAATCTCAGTTACCAACCGGATTATTAAATACGAGCAATTTTTTCAATGTCCAGTTAACACAAATCGGAGGTAGATGCTCCGGAAAAATACAATGACTACTTTATCGATCACATGTTATAGGCATGATGTAAAAAATGTCGATAATAATAGCGGACAATGAAAAACGGATCATGTCCTCAGCTTGACAAAACACCGAATCTAGCCCACTAGACTCTATGAATTTTAGAATTGATCCCGGTGGCAGGGAGAATATGTACTCTTATCTTGTCCATATATGTCCTATGAACCTCTCCCTTCTTCAAGAAACGGCCTGGCACTCCAGGAGAAGGTGCAATGGTATCCTTTTGGCGTATTCAAACAAGCGACGTAGATTGCTTAACCAGATCATCAAATTACTGTACAAGTGGCCACTAAGCCTGCAATGACCCGTCAAAGTACCTGTAATAATTCTTGGCCTCTCCTTGGGGAGGTTTATAAGTAGCCTGTATCTCTTTAGATTGTACCCCCCTAATAAGCTCTTGGCAGTATCCTCAGTTTGCAATTTGATTATGAGGACCACCGCAAAGAAGGGCTCAGGTCTTATCGGGGTTGAGGTAGCAGTCAGTGTGACCAGCTGACCGGATTTCCTTCGACTCTTATGTACCCTGGTACTCATATTAGTAGCATAGTATTGCCCTCAGCAAGATCATTAAGCCTCTCGATGCGCTCCAGCACCAACGAAGATTTGACCCGCAAAGATGAGAGTGAAGATAAGTGACGCCTGACTATCACTTAGTAAAATTATCTAAGATAGTTTCTACGAAGGTTAATCTCTGCGCATAGACCTATGGCATACACTTCCGCTGTAATGATAGCTTCGGTCTAGGGCCATATCCGCCTGCTCATTACCATCGGGGGTCTTACAGCCTTCTGTATCTTACTATAGAGTTCTCACCTGCCGTGTCCTTCCAAAATAGAAGTGATCCAGGTTGCCTTGCTGAATATATTGACCTTGACGCCACTTTCAAAGACCACTGCTCTGTGTATATTAGAGTCCAGCGCAATTGTATTTGCCGCATTTCATTCAATAAGTACTCCTTGCATTGTACTCTACTCCCAACACATTGTTACTTTTTTTCCGCATACATACACTACTTGCCGTTGAGAGAGTAAATACTTGACGTACTTGCTATTACTCCACCAAAGTACGTACTCTACTTTCCCTCATCGCGTACGAGAGATATTTGCTGCTGCCAAAAGGGAGTAGCAAATCTACTCTCTGTATACTTGTAGTACGGTAAGTACTTGCGTATTAAATTTCAATTCTGGTTGTTAGCCTACTAGTTGATATCGTTTGCAGCGCTGGTCAGTGAAATTGAAAGAGTAAAAATAGAATATGGAAATCGACGATGTAAGGAAATGTTTACGGCCTTATTTATAAAAAATAACGTAGATTTACACAGTTGTTTAATGTGACATTTTCATAAAACTTTTGTATTCAAGCAGCTTTTTAAATCTATGTATGTACTTAAATTTTTATGAAAGTATTATTTCTCGTCTCTAATTTTCTATAAAACTATTTGCAGTCATTAACCAACAAATAAGTTGTCAAAAACAATAACTTAAGCAATGCTGCTATACGAAATAAAATTATTAGTGGCAAATCAAAATTTTGAAAAGTGCCGATTTTCACATTCGATAGTTGGACATGGTAGCGACGAGATGTACGATCATTTTTTTCTTAAGAGCTGCATACTGATTTAAGAAATTTTTTATAGAAGAAAATTTATTTTCCATTTATTGTGCGTAATTTTATATGAATTTTTAGTTTTTCTTGGGAGCCTTTACAAATAAAAAAAATTTCGGAATATGTACATACATACGCAGCCATATAACTTGATTTCAAGAGAAACGAATTTTCATTTGGCACGTTCAGAAGGCGAAACAGCTCAGTAACTGGTGCGATTGCACCTTCTGAACGCGTTGTTGCGTACTTCTGATCAACTGAATAGTTGCGTGTTAGATGATCGTAATATTTTTCTGATCATTTGAGACAACATGTTGGTGTGTACCTTTGAGAGTTGAATTTGACAGCTAATATATGAAGTCGTTCAAAAGACGCATAAGGATCGCTGATTTTTGTTTAGCAACGGTTGCGCTCAACTGCTGCGCCTTCTACCTATTGATAACTTTTTTTTTGATAACACTGCGACAGCTCAAATTGGTATTGAGTAAACCCAAATGCAAGATAGAGTTTTTGAATTTCATTGAGTTTTTTTTAATAAATACTAAAATTAGAGGTGTATGAATGGCGAAAGAAAAACTTCATCCGATTTTTTTAAATCGAAACTGCATTTTAACATATGTACATATGTCCATGCATACATAAATATATTTAATATGAACCCATGGTTTCAATTGTACGCATATCGTCAGGGTTTTCCCCACAACTTGGTTTTGCCGCAGTGAAGCGACAGAACAAGTGACGAGAAAAAATATATGCGGACACTTACATATATATGTATCTATGCACATACGTATCTATGCACATACGTATCTATGCACATACTTATCTATGCACATACGTATCTATGCACATACATACGTATGTACTTAGGTATGTATATCAGCATTTTAGTTGAAAGTACGTTTTGCTCGTCGCTCTCTTCATCGCTCCACTACATTCCTGTCCTTAGTTTTTTTCAGATACCACAAATGCGCGATCCAGAAAATTCTTCTATCATTCTTGCCACAAATGTATGTTTTCTTCGAAAATACTCAAGTACTACCAGTAGAGTACTCTACTGTCAAATACCTTTTACTCGCAGTAGTTGCGGAAGGCAAAGTAAATACTCTACGCGTGTTGCTATTGATCGGTAGTTTACGTACGCTTGCTGAAACTGGTTTATGCTTACTCACAATTGACCCGAACGATGAAAGTAGGGGATGGAAAGTATTTGCGCGGCGATCGGATGTCTTGTTGGGCCGTTTAAATGGAATTGCGCAGGAGTCTAGTGTATATCATATCGGGAGAACAACACTAGTGGGAGCTGGGAGACTAATCTTACGCTAGAGTCCTTTTTGTTTAACATTGCAAAAGATGATAGATCTTTTCTTCGGATTGTGTAAGGCTTTTTTCAGTGGATTTCAGTAGTTTTTTTTAACTCCTACGCTTATATCCACTGGTCTAAGTGCACCATTTTGAGCAAAACCAGCCATTGCCGAAAGAGAAATTCGTAAATTTTATACATAGAAGTGCCACTAAGCTTTTGTTTTTTTTTTAATATTTATTATGCAGATACCCCTCATGCCATACTTTACTAAATAACTGCTTAAATTACAGCGAGAAAAAGTGCAAAGCAGAACGCTCTAAGCCCACATGCCTTTCGTTAGTAATTTGATTTACTGTTTGCTACTCGTATATTTGAAGAAGAGAAATGTCCTTGTTACAGTTGCAGGTATTTCCGGAGCTAAGGTTTAAAAATGGATGTTATAATAAAATGAACCATATATTCTTGTTTCGTGCGATAACTGCAAAGGTACTTGGAAATCTGCTACGCATAAATATTTATGCCAAGTTCACACGTGTCTCAAATTCAGCGACATAATTATTTATAATACAATACTTCCAGACTCACCCATATTTTTCCTACAAAAAAGACTAAACACAAAAATTCATAAGCGTATATATATGCAAATGTGTTATTGAATTTTGTCAAGAAAATATCGTAAATTATGGTTCAATACACTTCTACACTTCAACGCTTCGATTTAAATGAAACAAATGTTAAAACTATAACGCATACTTACACACCTACATACATTTATTTATGTATGTAGTACCTATATACACGAATGTACAACGTGAATAAATGCTACATATATACATATGTACATACCCTGCAGTGAAAACCTAAACCAGTTAGAAAAAATACTAGTTCATAAACTAGTATGTGCCTACCAGTTCGACATTTTTGAAGAACTTAAGCGTTCAGCGACATCTGTCTTTGAATTGCCAAAGCCTAAAATAAAACGCAATTAATTGCTTTTCTTACAAATGTCGGATGTGGCGTCACGTGAAGACTACTGGTTCTGGTTCTGGGATCGCAGGTTCGAGGCCGCTTGAAGGTGGTTAAGATTTTTAAAGCTAGATCAATGTAAGTAGGAATAATTATTTCAATTTAAATATAAATAACAAACTTCAAAATCTAGTTGCATTACAAAAAAAAATAAACAAATACATATATGGGAAGAAATACTTGTACCATATGTATGTATGTACATTAGACTGTGACAAATTAAACGAAAATTTTTTTTCTTTCTATCCGATATGAAAATTTCAGCCCTGTATCTTCAATTTTCAGTTAGCGCTCGCAAAAATAAGATTTTTTAATGAAATTAACTTTTTTCCACTCCTTTTCTTTGAAGCATTAATTATAACAAATAAAAAAGAACAACCTTGTAGTCTATTTAATTCTAGTAGAGT